CAGTCCCAAGTCATAAAAGTAGGATGTAAAACATTATCTTTCTGGACTGTTTTATGCCAATTGTCCTAAATGCCCTGAGACTCCACAGTTAATCTCACAGCCTCTGAGTCATTCCAACTCATAGGAAGCTTATAGGGGAGAGTAGAAATGTCCCTGTGGGTTTCTGATATTTTGATTTCTTATAGGAGTAAAAAAATTCTCACAGAGAGCCACTGATGGGTTCAAACTTGTGGTGGTTACATAATCTGGAGCAAATTTGAGAAATAAGAGTGAAAGGGTGGAGTCTAGTCTGCCAATGAGACCTCTGTGTGGGCATTGCTTGTTCCTGAGAATTCTGGGAACTCCGTGATTTTCCTCCTTGGAGGCAGGAGACACACCTCTCTCTCTGCTCACTCCCTGAGAGACTCTCTAGTGACAAGACACATGACGCTATGCCCTGGGAGCTGGAAAAGACACCTGGACCTACCCTGATGCAACAGGATCTCTGGAGCTGGAAAAGCCACATAGAGACCCCTGCCAGCGCTGAGTTGCTTACAATGCCACTGGATCCACAATACTTCCAACACACTGACCTGTGATCCTCCTGCAATCGGCATCATTGTATATATTTCATGAGTCTGCAGAGGACTTTATAGATTGGTATAGGACATATGGGTTAATATTGGACTTATGGATTTGATCTGGACTGGGCAGGGACGTTTTCTCAATATTCAATCGCTCTTGTATATAAAGCTCTTTCTTATACACACATGTATGTCTATGGATTTTTTTCTCTAGTCTACACAGACTAACAACGATGGAAAATCATTATAGGAACTGACTTCCTCATCTTTCTCCAGTGGAGCCTTGCACTTCATCCACTGCCCCACTAGCTGTAGTAGTATAAATTCTACAAAATTTCTAAATAGCTCTAGATATAGTGTTGGTTCTGCCCCTACCTTTCTGTGTAGAATCCTAGACCAGAAAGTATTGGACCACACATTAAACACTGAGCACCTTCATATCAAGACATTTCTTACTGACATTTTTTTTTTGCAATTTTGTTTATGGGTTGGAAACTTTATTTTAAAAAATCATTTATCATACATCTTTGTTTTAATTTTAAATAACTTAAGGCTAAACTGCAATTTAGAATCCCAGTAATCCTTTGGTAAATAGGTATTTAAAACGCAACTAATTGAATTGAGGAGCCCTGCTGGTGTAGTGGATCATGCATTGGGCTGCTAACCTCAAAGTCAGCTGTTCAAAACCACCAGCTGCTCCGTAGGAGAAAGACAAAGTTTTCTATTCACATAGAGAACACCAGCCTTGGAAGCCCACGGGGTCGGTTCCATCCTGTTCCATGTTGTTGCAGGAGAGAGTTGACCAAACAGGATTGAGTAATGCATAAGGCAATTGAATTATTGGATACCTCTCCTCCCTCATTCATTGTGTTGTTTTCAGTCTGTGTTTTGTTATTTGTATTCGCCTGTGACATCCCATTGTGGAATCTATTGGTTTGCATTTTAAAGCCATGATGTTGTGCAAGAGCTCCAAAATTAAGATGCTTGCCTTTAGTAAAACGGCAGTGTAGGATGCAGGGCAATGGGGAGCTAACACTGAGTAAGAGAAGAAAATGTTCTGAAATTGAGTGGGGTGATGATTAAACAAATTTTCTTAATATGATTGAATGAGTAAATTGTATAATATATGAAGTATATGCCAATAAAACTAATTTTTTTTAATGGGAAATTATAACAGAATCACATTGTTTAAACTTTTTCTAGATCTAACATTAAGAAACAATGGGGGAACACATCTTGACTTTGGTACTATTGCGGAACCTAGATTCCCATTTTTTGCTTATTATTTTCACCATTATACCAATATCTAAAGCCATTAGAACCTGAAACTTTCTTACTGACATTTTCAATGAGCGATTTTCATTTTTAATATTGCAGAATCCTTGCAAAGAGTTAAAATAGTAGTCTTTTTTAGTTTTCCAGTGTTTTGGCCTAGATTTCAACATATCAGGATGTAAACTAAGGCTTTAGACTCTAGTAGGAATGATAGTTCATGTGGTAGCTGTACATTTATTGAAACAACTATAGTCAAATTCATTTGGATTTTCTCTCATAATCAGATGTCATTCCAGACAAGTGTTCTGTAAATTCACTTGGGTTATCAGTATGCTATATAGTTGTTGTATATAAAGTTCCCTGGTGTTGTGCTGGGTTACATGCTGGGTTGATAACCACGAGGTCAGCAGTTCAAATCCACCAGTTGCTTCATGGGAGAAGGTGGGGATCTTTAGTCTGTAAAAATGTATCCAATCAATGGTAACTTTGAGTCATAATTGGCTTAATGACAATGGGATACAGATTTTATAGAACAACAGTATATATTTGGTTTTTATAAAAATAATTTATATAAATTAGCCTTTTAAGCATCTGAAATATTGGTAAATGTTTCTATATAAAACTTTCTATTTTATTTTAGGAACTTTTTTGTAGATCAATTTGATATACTTTCTTAAAAGTATTTTCTATCTAATTTTAAACTTTTGTCAGAATAGTATATATATATTAATGTGATAATTATCTGCTTCTTGTGAACAGTGACTATCTATGTGTTCCAGATATAACAGTAAATGTTCATTGACTAAAGAAAAGAGGCTCAGAGAGATATGTAATATCCCCATGGTTACTAGCTTTGGAGAACTCTGCTTTAGGAACCATTAAATTTTGGATCCATAAATCCACTGTTTATACCAAACTAAGTATTCTAAAATTATGGATCATTGGCACCTGTCTCAAATCACAAAAAGTTAAGCGTGAGACAAAGGTCAAGCCATCAGAGGATGATAGTTCCTAAATTGTAAAGTTGCTGGATTGAGGCAAGAAGCCACTGACATCAAGATTTTTATGAGAAAAAAAATAATTCTCATCTTTTTTTAAGTTGCTAGAAGATGGATGTTAGTGAAAAGAACCGGGAAATAAGCCTGACCAGTCTGACTGAGGAGTCATCACATACTAGAAACAGGGAGTTCATGAGCCTGACCAGCCAAGACCTTGCCATGTGAGAAGGACATAGTTGGATCCCAGCCAAACAGGGTCCACTGCTTGAGCCCCAGCCAAGCAGGGACACTGGCTGTTTTTCTGGAAAGACCAGCCCTAAGCTCAAGGGACCCTGCCAGACATATTAAAAAGGGTCTTCCAGCTCTGGGTGATGTCTCACTGCTTTTGAACGTTGTGTGTACAAACCCACTGGTGGCTGCCCCCAAGAGTATCCTGACTTTATTGCTCAATGCACCTGCTGTGCTGCCTCCTATTACTTGCTTTGTTCGGTCTCTGAATTGTCACCACACCAGCCACCTCTCCTTCCTGAAGCTGGTAATGCAACCCCCCCTGTAAAGGGGTCACTGGACCCTAACACTTTCATTGACAGTTTCTTAAGATGTAAGGTGATATGCTTGAGTCTATTTTTAAATGTTTGATAGTCAGTTACCCGATGAAGGAAATTGGACAATGGGGACTTAAAATAATGCATGAACCAAAGTGCTGAATTGGCAACCAACCGTGTGAAGTAAAAATGAAAATTGTGTGGCGCTTGTGTCAATATCAGAAATAACTGACCTAAAAGAGTAAAGGGGAAATCAGAGCAGGCTCAGACTCCAACTTGAAGCTGGGAATAACAGTCTCCCAGAACATTAATTCAAAGCCTTAAGTGAAAATGGACTATTAAGTCATACAAGGCAATTCCCGAATATTCAGAGCAGAGACAGTGGGAAGGTCATAGCAACCTTGGGGAGTAAAGCTGAGATGTAGTGGCAGAAACTTGCAACTTTGGTTATAGCTTGCTAAATTAAAATATTTTCACCTTAGTTCTCTGAAGGCTGGTATTCTGTTATCTTGGTGACTTATTATTTAGCTGATATTTGAGGTGGATGACCTCAGAGCCTTTAAGTTTTACAATTTCATGAATGAAAACCATGCTAATCTTTTAAGAAACATTATTATGTTCACATTAAAACCAAGAGCAAACTTATAAATTAACCTCAGAAAGAATACAACCTACACAACAAGAAAACCCTACATTTTCATTCTTATTTGCTACCTTAACATTTTCCATATATAAATCCATCCATGAAGACGATCAGATTTACCATTTGGTGGGCCAGAGGGGAAAATAGGTGTATTTGTCGTCCACTAGATACACTCACACTGTACTCCGTTCTCTATATGCAAGACCTAGGTGACTAGAAGTGTCATTGTCACACATTTTCATAGACTGGTCAGCCACTTGTTACTTCAATAGAACACAAGTCATCTTTATACAAGAGCAATCAGGACAAAAAGGAAATAGCTAAGCAGTATGCATCACCCACCACCACCGTAGCAGTTAACCCAGCATTACTCTACTGAGATACAACAGTGCCTGGCACCTCCAAACCCAGGAACTTGTAGAATTGTTTGACAAATATTCCTATTCAAAAAAAGGCTCTTACACAAACATGGGAGTAGGGCTAGACTACCAGTTAGGTCTGAGGGTAAGTAGCACATACAAACAAATTAATATTCCCCATTGCAGGTTTTTAATGTTCTCTTCATTCTTTAAAATAAAAAACCTGCAATGGGGAATATTAATTTGCACCATTGACTTAAAAGTCAGGAGGCTGAAAATTAGGTTATTACAATTCTTATTTCCAAGCAAAGAGAGTATTAGATAAATTAGGATGGAAATTTACCTTAAACACCTAAACCAGTTATGGAACCATCAGTTGTTCACTTTACTAACTTAAGAAATGCACAGCAGCAGAATACCACAGAAAACATTTATCCCCACCCCACCACCCGTGTGGCAAAACTTAAAAGCAAATGAAAAATTAGGCATGTTATAAAGTAACTTTTATTAGCCAGTTGTTTGCTCCAAAGACTCTTATAGGTAATGACTTTGGGGTCCTCCCTCCTTCCCCAATCAAGTCCTGTTACTTGACTGGCTGGTGAAGATGAACTTTGATCTTAATTAGGATCTTTCCCTTCAGCGAACTTTCCAGGGCTCTTAGGTGCAGAACCGGAGTTGGATTCCTTCTCAAATCTGGGCAGAAGACTCTCAGACCTGGTTGGCAAGCGAGACGTGGTCACAGGTGAAGGCCTAGCACGGGATCTTCTTTGGGCTTTAGAACGACGCCCCTCACTGAAAGAGCTAGGACCAACAGGCTTCGGGGTGAGACTTTCGTTGTCATCACGTTTACACTTTCGGGGTGTCACTTCCAGGCGGGCATGACGGGAGCGCAATGATCTTTGCCCAACCTGGGCCTTCTGCATCCGTAGCTCGCGGTCATCCAACAGGATACCATCTACGGCATCCCTGGCATTCTCTTCTTGGCGCTTTTGATGAGATCGGACAAAAGCAAAGCCAAGGGACTCTTTGGAGACAGGGTTACGGACAATGTACACATCACCCGCTGGCTGGGAACTTTCCAACTCGTGCGTCGGAGTGCTGGGCGGAGTGCAGTAGGTCAGATTGTCCACCTTGAGAGAGAGCATGCCCTCCACATTGGGAGGAGTGTGACTGTCACTCATGGCTTTTGAGAGCTTTGCCAGAGGACTACTTCTCGCGAAAACAGGAATGGCGGCGACACAGAGCAAACAGCAACTGTTGCTAGGGATTTCTTCAGCTTAGGCCCCGCCTCTTCCGGTTCCTGCATGTGCTGCTTCTGAAAGCTGGCTCTTTGCCAAGTTCTGGAACAGTCCTTTGCAGAAACAGCTCCACTGGACCCAGTGGGTTGGAAAATAGGTGTCCTTGGCCATAATACAATTGCTTCTCTAGCGTAAATCATAATACCCTGATTTAATTATAGACAGAAGAACATATAAGTTACATGAGAGTTGATATAAATAAGGTTGTGAGCTGAAATACCCTTGCAATGTGAGAAACAGTTATGGCTTTGAAGAGAAATAAGCTTCTGCACAAATAAGTGTGACTCAATCACACAGGCACAGAAGGATTGGGAACCATCTATGGGCTGTGGAATGCAGTAAGAAAATCAGTATAGGTCCCCCATTTCTTCTATGGGCTATTTGAAGATGTCTACATTATGTAATTGAGCATAACCCAAATTATTGGACTTGACTGCTTCTTCATTAATTGGCCATGCCATATACTACTTGATGGAATAAGCATCTTTGAAGTGGCTTTCATTTTAAAAGTTAATTTTCCCCCAGATTTTTAAAAATGAAATCTCCCATTGTTAAAACATAGCCGATTAATTTGAATGATTTTTAGAATATTTTATGGATTTAAATGAAACATATAGCAGTAGGTCAGGGGTGGTTCATGGACCACCTATTTTGTTTTGTTTTTTCTTTTAAAATCTTTGCTCTAGATACAGCATTTTAAAAGTTTTATTACACATAATATAATTGAATGGTTTAAATATATCAAGCAGAATTGTTCATTTATCACTAGTCCAATTTAGAATATTTTTTTATTCTTTAATCCTTGTGCTATGAGTCAGAATCAACTGATGCAATGAGTAAGTTGTATTTTGGTTCTTACCCATTATTATTAGCTTCCATGTCCCCTCAACCTATTCTGTCATCACTCTAAGAAATTATTAATCTAGTTGATGTCTGTACAGATTGACCTGTCCTGTATTTTATATGAAGAAAATCATTAAAAAATAAACAAAACCAATTTCCCACAGATGGGCCCTGGGTCTCCTCTGTGCACCCCCCCTCATTCACAATGCTATGATTTTTTTTAATTTTTGGTCTTTGATGCCTGGTACCTGATACCTTTGACACCTTGTGATCTCACAGGCTGGTGTGCTTCTTCCATGTGGGCTTTGTTGTTTCTCAGTTAGATGGCCCTTTGTTTATCTTCCAGCCTATAGGACCCCAGATTTTATATATGTTGGCAGATGGGCACCATTAGATTTATTTACCACTTTTGTTTATGCACCAACTTTGTCCTCAGCGATAGAGACAGGACAGGCTGGTGTGCTTCTTCCATGTGGGTTTTGTTGTCTCTCGGCTAGATGGTTGCTTGTTTGTCTTCAGGTCTTTAAGACTTCATGTGATATATCTTTTGGTAGCCGGGCACCCTCAGCTTTCTTCATCCCATTTGCTTGTGCACCCATTGTCTTCAGAAACTTCAGGTGCTATATCTTTTGGTAGCCGGGCACCATCAGCTTTCTTAACCACATTTGTTTGTGCACCCACTGTTTTCAGAGATTGTGCCAGGAAGTTGCGCTCTCAGACTGCCGAATTGTTAGAACAAAATGTTCTTGTGTTGAGGGAGTACTTGTGCAGGGGCCCACTGTCCATCTGTTTTTTAATACTCAACCTATAAATATATGTATATAGATCTATTTCCCCCTTGTATATAAATATATTTACATCTTTATATGCCTGCATTTAAATCTCTCTGATACCCTTTGCCTCCTAGTTCTTTCCTCTATTTCTTTGTACTTTCTTCTTGTCCCACTATCATGTTCTGCCTTCATTTGGGTTTTAAGTATTCCTCTCGGTTACATTGCCCTTAATCCAGCCCCGCCAGACTTCCCACACCCTCCTTGACACTGATTTTGGATCACTTGTTGTTCCCTTGTCCCTGGGTTTGTTAACTCACTTCCTTTCCCCTGTCTCCCCTACTCCCATGTCCCCCGGAACTGTCATCCCGTTCTGTCTTGTTTATTTTGCCTATCCCTTCCAGGTAGACATGCTATGTACCATCACAAGACTGAATACAATGAGGCAACAACATAAAGTAAATAGCTACAACAACAACACACACACAAACATATAAATTGTTTAGGGTCTGTTTTTTGTCCTTCACTGGTGCTTTCCCGTTGAGTCTGATGGGGTGCCATGTCCTGGTACTGCCTCTATCCCTGGGGACTTCATTGCTCTGTTCCCCCTGCTGCTCTGCTGCATACCCCCAGTGGCTGGCTTCAGTGTGGTGAGCTCATGGTGGGCACAATTCCCACCATGTGTCTCTAGTGTTGTCCCCAATGGTGTTATGGGTCAATGAGGAACACTTTGTCCCCTGGTGGGGCCAAACCTGTGGTCATCTCTGTGCATTGCTGTTCTGAGCAGGAACATTGCCTCAGGGCTTCTTGAGCCAGGATGTGCTTCATTCTTTTTATTTTCCCTATCCCCCCTCGTTGGCTCCTGTGTGCTCTGACCAGACCAGTCCCTCTTCTTGAGCTGTAGCTTCAGTGCTGTCCTCTGAAGTGAATTCTTCTTGCGGGGAGAGTGATGCTATCCACTTAGTTGATAATGGGGCCGGCCCCTCAGGCCTCTTTATTAGTTCCCTGCTTCGTGTCAGTGTGTTGCGTTCTTGTCTTAGACCTCCGGGTTGAAGTCTGGTCTTTCTTTCCCTGTGGAGACACAATTAACACCCTCCCCCTGTGTGGGTTAGTGCCCTGTTCCCCCCGCTACCCATACCTTTCCCCCTCTCCCTTTTAATGTGCTACCATATGTATCCCATATGTATCCCTGAGTGTAGTCTGTCCCCTGCCTTATTACCTGGACCCCCCCCCCCAGAGATGTATGTATACAGTATCTTCTTCCTTCTGTCCCTTTTGAATTTTTTGAGCTTACCCCTTGCAGAAGGACTGCGGGAAGGAGATGAGCCAGTCAGGGTGCATTATAGCAACGATGAAATATGCAATTTCCCTCTAGTTCTTGAATGCTCCCCCCACCCACCCACTATCATGATCCCAATTCTTTCTTACATATCCGGCTGGACCGGAGGATGTTCACTGGCACAGATAGAAACTGGAAATACAGGGAATCCAGGACAGATGAATCTCTCAGGACCAGTGGAGACAGTGGCGATACCGGGAGGGTGGAGGGAAGGTGAGGGAGAAAGGGGGAACAGATTACAAGGTCTACATATAACCTCCTCCCTGGGGGATGGACAACGAAGAAGTGGGTGAGGGAGACGTTGGATGGTGTGAGATATGACAAAAATAATAGTAATTTATAAATTATCAAGGGTTCAGTGGGGAGGGGGGAACGGGGAGGAAGCGGGAAATGAGGAGCTGATAAGAGCTCAAGTAGAAAGCAGTTGTTTTGAGAATGATGATGGCAACATATGTATGAATGTGCTGGACACAATTGATGTATATATGGATTGTATAAGAGTTGTATGAGCCCCTAATAAAATGATTAAAAAAATAAACAAAACCCCAACAACCGAATAAAACATTGTTAGTATTCAATCCTGTCTGTGAGATTCCGGTTTGCAGAAGGCTATGGATGACAGTTGTAGCCCAAGATGTATTTGTGAGATCTACATGGGAAAAACAGCTCTGGTGATTTCCCTCTATCCATTATAGAGTGATGAGAAGAAACTGGTTACCAAACAGAGTACACTAGAGAGATGATAGCAGAAGTTCAAAATGGCAAACCTAACAGTGAGAACCTTCTCAGTTGATTTCCCCTCTGATGCACAGTAGGCCTGATCTGCTTTTCAACTGCTTGTGTATTTTTTTGGGTTTTGTTTGTTCATATTGTGGCTTACTTTAGATGTATTTTTTCATTGGGGGTGTCCCCCTTGAATTTTTAGATATGTTTTACTGATGGTCAATGTGTTAGTCTGGTACTGTAGAGAAACAAATCCACAGAAGCTCATGTATAAGAGAGAGTTTTATATAAAGGTTAAGTGCATATCAAGAAAATATCCCAACCCAGTGCTGCCCAAGCACACAAGTCCAACAGTAACCCATTAATCCATATATCCAACACCAATCCACAAAGTCCTCCTCCATCTCACAAAACAGATGCAATGATGCTGACTGCAGGAGGAAAGCTGAATCAGTGAATGTGTAAGCATCTCAGTGTTGGCAGGGGTCTCCACATGGGTGCTCCAGCATGCAGGGCTACATCGGGGTAGGTGTGGCTTCTCCTCAGTGATGTCTTGCAGGAGGTGAGCCTTGCCAGCTAGAGTAGGGAACTGGCTAAGGCAACCGCACCCTGGTCCGACCATCAGAAAGCAAGAGACCCGAGAACTAGAAAGGCGAGACTCACCCAGCCATTTATCCCTCCACCCTTCAATTAACCCCACATGTGTTTATTGGCCAGGTTGGCACAATCAACTAATTAACTCAGTCAATATATGACACCCAGGATTAATGAACTTTGAAGGACAAAAAGTAGAATAAGGGTTTTGTAGAGGCTGGGTACAGTGGTGGGTGGTGGTGGTAAAATGGAATTAGTGTCAAGGAGTTCAAGAAGGAAGAGAATGTTTTGAAAGTGTGATAACAATTGTACAGTACTGCTTAATTTGATTGAACAATGTAATGGTATGATATCTGTATTTTCTGCCAATAGAGTAGTTTTTGGGAAAAAGAAAAAAAGTGTTACTGTCTCGGTAACCTACAGGCTTCAGGTTTATTTGTAATTGTTGAATTATTTTTGTGGTGGTGACATTAAAACTCTTGTCAGGTGCTTCCACTATTTGATATATTTGGGGGTTGACATTTGTAGGTTGTTATTTCTCAATTGTGTTGTGATTTCTCTGGTTCATGGAATGATGATTGACATTTTTCATTACATATTGGAAAATTTAGCTA